ATTAAATTGAGGTTTATTAGGCAAAATCTTGAAATTCCCCGCAAGTTGTGTAAACAAATGTTGTGATTGAAACCAAACATTACCTTTGTTTTCAACAAAATTGACTACAATTTACTATTTCAAAGCTTTTATTTCTTGTTTTTGCATTATCTGGGATATATTAAAATTATAATAATTTCCTAAATACACATTTTATTAAAAAAATAATAATAATGATTTGTTAAATATTTTTCCTTTAAAATATTTATGAAATTGTATTTTTCTCCCAGATTTCTGTCAAAGGAGTTGATCCGTATTCATAAGTGACAAATTTCATGTTTCTAGTACTAAAAATTTACATATTTATGAAAATAATTGAAGCAATCAGCAGAGTTCTTTTGTTTTAAACGTAAAATATAGGACTAGAGACATTAAATTTGTCTATGAAAAAAAACTTAGTATTTTAGGTGATAAATTTTTGAACAAACAGATAACAGAATATCAAATCACTTCAGTTTTTTATATAGCTAAATGTAAATAACAACTTATTCAGTAACAAACCTCAGCTTAATTAATATAGACTTAAAGCTTATTAAACAAGGAAGGTTTTCTAAAAATCATGTATCTCTAGTTAGTGGATGATACGGATTATTTCCTGTAACAGAAATCTGGGAGCAAAACACAGTTTCATAAATACTTTACACGAAAAATAATTAAAAAATCATTATTATTATTATCTTTTTATTTATAAATAAAAAAATGTTTTATTTATTTTTATTTTTTAATAAGCTTTAAGTCTATGTTAATTGTGCTGAGGTTTGTTATTTACATTTAGCTATGTAAAAAACTGAAGTGATTTGATATCCTGTCAATTTTCAGAGATAGTCAGTTGATATCCCACGCGGTTTTCGACGGATCTATACGTTTCAGAGCCCCTGAGTCCGAAAAACACATTTTTAGCCTGTCTGTCTGTGCCTAGATTTTCTCGGAAACTAGTGGACCGATTTTTTTTTTTTTTTTTTTAAGAGTAATGAAATTCCCTACAAAACTATATAAAAATCTTTCGACAACTATTAACGAAGTTACAGCTATTCAATTTTCAATGTAAGATTACGGATACTACCATGGTGTCAGAAAGGGATAATTGAGAGAGAAAAGATAACTAAGTGAAATTATGTAATGTCTTATTTGTTCAAAAATTTATCACCTAAAATAATAATTTTTTTCTCACAGACAAATTTAATATCTCTAGTCCTAAATTTTACGTTAAAACAAAAAAAAAAAAAAACTTGCTTAAATCAACTCCATAAAGATGTAAATTTCAGAACTAGAAACATGAAATTTGTCACTTATAAATACGGATCAACTGTACAATGTATATAGATTTCATAAAATTTTAAGAACTTTTTTAGGTAAAAATGAACAATGCAAAAAAGTGAAAAATTTCTTTGATTTCTTAGTGTTTACAATCTCAAATAAAAATAAGTTTTTCACAGGTAATTATATTTATTAAATATAATATTATATTTATAAAAAAAAAACAATAAATAAAAGCTTTGCAACAGTTAATTGTAGACATATATGCTGATAAACCAGCTGGATAAAAGTTGACATAATTTCTTTAGACAACTTGAGATGAATCTCAAAAAATTGCCTCATAAACCTCAATTCAATTAAAATTAACTTGAAGCTTATTAAATGAAGAATTTTTCTTAAAGTAGGGTGTCTGTAGCATCGTTGGAGAATGATAAAAAAAAAAATTCGTCAATAATTTATGATTTTTTTAAAAACAGAACTTAGCCAAGTTTAGCCACTCAAAACTCCTCTTTAAATTGTTTTAACAATGACAAATTTTATATTCATTTCAAGAAAATTATATCTAATTTATTGTGAAATTATTTTTAATTACTTAAATTCAGTATTTCTTTAGTTTTCGCTTCCTATTCATCAAAAATAAAAACTTACGTAGAAAAACACTAAACTTGGATTCCCTAATTTTCTGCTGAGATTTTGCCTATTGCTTGTATGGACTTTTTTTGTAGGATTTGAGGTCTGCAATAACTCCTATAAAAAAATCCTTCTACTCCAGCCATTTTTTTTTTTTTTTTTCCTTCACCCAAATCGAAAGTCTATAGTTCTAATTATATCAAATTCTATCTGCTAATGTTTCTTCAACGTGCGCAAATGCAGTAAAATAACATCCTTGGTTTTAAGTTATTTCTTTTAAGAAAAATGGAATATATAAGCCAAATATAATCCATATGGTCCTGTCATGTCTACACCGAGATTAGGAAAAAATATTTTGTTCGGCAGACATGTTTGCCGGAGGAATTATTTAGTCTATTAAAAGGTGCTAATTGGAAAGTTATAAGTAATTACGCTCAGCAGGCCACATTCCAATAATTTATTTATTTGTTATATATAATATTGTTTATGATTTATTATAAAATATATTTTATCTAGTTAGGTATTTACAATTTAACATCGTTTTATTGTTTTTGTTTAAGTTTTACAAACTTTTAATGATTATTTTCAAAAAAAATTTTTTTTTACATTTAAAGAATTGAGACCTGTGGAAAAAATGTTGAAAGGTAATTATGTAGTAATAATTCAAAAATTTAGTTGCTCGGTTATTTTGTTAAGGAAATAAAATGTAACATATTTTTTTAAAATATCACACAAATCTTGACAGACGGAATTTTCTATTGTCTATGTGTGGTAACATATGTATGAATATTATATTTTGTACCTATTTGCTATATGATAATAAACACGTTTTCATTCATATAAGCCAAATCTGGATACAAAATTCATTACCGCTATGACAATATTTACAACTAAATATGTCGGAAAAAACGTATTTTAATTTTGTATTAAGGATATCAAGAAATTTCTTGCAGTGTTATCCGAGCTTCACAAAGGATCTCTAAAATATTCACGTTTATTCATACTTTTAAAAACCAATATTATTAATTTTTTAATATCAAGATGTGTCAGAAGTATACTATAGAATCGTGTCATCTGTGAGCTTACGATGCAATTATTTTTTTTAGTGTTTCTGATTTTATTTAAGAATGTTCAAATTGAATTGTAAGATTATCAGAGTTCTTATGAATTGAAACTATGTTTAAAAAAAAAATTGCTTTTTCTCGACTTTTTAAAAATGACTGATATCCGTCATTGATATGAATCCATTCATATCTGTTCTCTCTATTATAATCAAAACTTATGTCACTGTTTTAAAAAAACCTTTGTTTACCAAAAAAAAAAATCATCAACGTCATTACTACAAAATTCTACTCCTGATGATCTTAAAGGATGAAAAATGAGTTTGATTGAATTTTACGAAATTGAGATTTAGGTGGTTAAACTGTCAACTACTCTTGTTTATTGGTTAAAAAACTAAATCAATTTAATGAAATTTCATGAATGAGATACATTTCGAGTTAAAGCTCTAATCTATTATCAAAAACACTGGGATGTCCCGGAAGAACTTGATCGAGTTTTGACGTCCGCGTCAAAATCTTTATAACAAAAATCTGTCTCGTCTCTATCCGTTGACTTACCAACATCAGAGATTCGAAACCTACTTTTTAAAATGATTTTTATTAAGTTTTTAGTACGAATTTAAGGATTTATATTAGGATCCGTCACTTCTCCAGGAAATTTCCTTTCTTTTGACAGATCGTTCATTAAGATCTATATATATATTACTGTATTATACATTTAGTAGACTACTGAAAAAAAAAAAAATTATATATATATATATATATATATATATATATATATATATATATATATATATACATAGTTAATATGTCCATAATGATATCACATTACTACCTATCATAAATTGTTCAAAATTATTTACTTATTTGTTTTTTATAAGTTCCAAAAACCTATGGACTTTTGAGGTAAGCTTACGTTTTACAAAGTTCCAGAAGTTTAAATTTAGTTTTGATATAATAGTATATACTATTAATGTATAATGTATAATATACAATAATAAAGATATATATATAAAACAGATAATATATAAGTACTTTAAATCATATATAGAATAATATAATAGCAATGAATGCAAATAGAATAATGATGCTATTACAAAAAAAAAAAATGTTATGCTGTTAAATAAATAATTAATTTTATGGGTAGTTATTAAGAAGTTAATGTTAGAATGTATATTTTTAATATCTTGAAAAAAATATTAAAAACATGCAAAAGATGGAATAATTCCAGGAATTTATCTTGACCACTTTATCATTAAAAAATAATATTTATTTGTTATTCCCAAGGAAGGTCTTTTCATTAATTTATATGTTACTTTTATATTATTTTTTAATTTCTCAAGAACTTGTTTTAGTAATTTGTATAATCTGAAGATGGGATAAAAAAAATCCCGAAACGTCACATAGAATTTAATAAAATAAATTTATGGGAAAGAAAAACTGTTTAAATTTTCATATACCTTAATAATTTTTATATTTCAATATGTTCCAATCGAAATATTTAAATATTGATAAAATAAATCGGGATATTTTAATTAAAAACACTTATAGATCTATAAATTGAAACAGAAGTAAAATAAACAAGCTATAAATATCCCGGCAAAATATAAGAAAAAACGATAAAGAAAAGAAAGCTTTGATTATTTAAAAAGTAGTATGCTAAGAGTCAGCCAAATACAGATGAAAACAAAGCACTAAATTCATATCATAAAATACTACATCATAGATTAAGTTACTATAAGATTGCAAGAGTTTCCTAAGCAAACACTTCAGTATAATTTTAAAACTAAATTTATGTTTCACATACTGATATGGCAAAGCAAATGATATTTGAAAGTACTATTGTCAGCTGTTGTTTTGAAAAATTTCTAAATATGACATCACAGTTTTAGAAACAAGTCGTAACAGTTATATAAGGCAAGAACACTTTTAATCCACAAATCATAAACAAACAGAACTTAAATCACTTTTTTCATAAAAAAAAAAAAACATTTCGAAACAAGATTGAGTTACCTTCATCTGAAAGGTGTGATATCGAGGACTGGGAGGATCGAGCATGTGCGATCTTGACCTGGCGGAGGCGGACCGTAGACTGGGGCGTGAGCGAGGGGCGGGCCCTGAGGAGGGGGGAGATCCAGCGGCCGCCATTGGCCCGTCAAAGCCGCAGGCCCCGCCCATCGCGCCACGCCCCCTCCTCCACGCGCACGCTCCGTAGGTGTGTTCCCTTATATGCTAATCCCTGAGCCTGTGTGTCGACTCTTTGATTTCAATGGGGAAATATATCACAGGGCGAAATCCCAGCGAGGATAAACCACTGCCTTTTAAATCAAATACCACCCGCGTCTGTCAAATCTTTTATCTTTTATTTCGGTGTACAATATTAGGAAGGTGGATTCGATGCGAGTAGACGTAGAGATTTACGTGGTTAAACTGTCAACTACTCATGTTTATTGGTTAAAAAACTAAATCAATTCATTGAAATTTCATGAATGGGATATATTCCGAGCGTATACATCTAATCAATTATGCTGACATTTTTAGATACATTTTTAAGCTTCTTTAAAAATGATTTGAAATATATCTGTATATTTTTTTGTTTTTTTACAAGGTTAATTTTATCAACACATACCCTTCCCTACAAAAGTTTTACAATATTTTAAATTATATATTTCGTAATAAATATTACCATCTTAAAACGTTATTTACCTTTATCGATTTGGTTAAGGTCTAAGCAATAAAAAAAAACAGAAGCAACCACTTTTTATAAAAATATTTAATAAAAATAAATCCTTTTTGCCCTCTTTCTCCCAAATTCCGGTCCTATATTACAGAACCAAAGTAATAAAACTATAAACATGTTTAAACATATGTTTTCTCTCTATTATAATGAAAACATATGTTACTGTTTTAAAATGTTTCAAAAAGGATGAAAAAACTTACATTACCCAATAAATATCTTTAGCTAGACTTAATCATTCAATAAAAAAATAGTTATAGACCATTTCATGTAACCTAACTAATTATATACAATTTCATGATAACTAACGAATTACAACCAATTTAAGCAAAGATGAAATAGAACAATATTCCTGTGCAAAAACAATATAAAAAATCTTCTTTATTTTTTTATCTTTTTCTCTAGATTTATTTATTTAATCTTGTCTTATATTATATATCTAGTGTACTTTTTAATTTTCTGCTTTAATGATGACCCCCATGCTTATTGGTCAAAACGTCGGCAAGCTGAATAAAACAATCTATCCTGATATCCTATATCATTCTCATTATTGTGAGAAAAAAAAACAGTCAACGAAAATTTCCATCTACAAATTCATGAAATTATATACCTATCTAAATTTTAATAACACTTAGCAGTTGTTAATTTATTGTTTGAAATTTTGAATTTATAATAATTCTTTTATTTTATAAATATTAAAGAATATAATAGGGGAAAGCGGGGCTAATAGTTATTGGGGTATGTTGTTCAAAGTGAGCTAGCTCAAAAACGAAAAGAGATAAATCCAAGTCTTATAGTTTAACTTAATTCATATACGTCCTTTGATTCTTATAATACTAATTATAATCTGAACTATGCTATATATTGCTAATTATAAAGACTGATTAGCTACATCAGCTGTTAATTGCAAAGTGAGATAATGTATAACCTGAAAGTACAACTTAAGATATGAAGTTATTTTAAGTGGTATAATATAAGATATCAAAACACTAAAGGAGAATTCTTTCTTTTGTTTCATGACTTTGTTAAAATTATCTGGCATATTTGAATGAATACTATATATTCAAATCTTTATTTTTTTCATCATCATCAAGTTGGAGTAAGTTGTTACTTTTTGTTTTCCTCTATACTAAATTTCATTTAAAAATATTCGTTAAAGGTATTAATTCCATTCCATGCTATCCCCTATTCTACCTCAATGGACTACCTATTCGTTTCCATACGTCTGTCAGAAATCTCGGAGTAATTTTCGATCAATACCTATCCTGGAAGAATTATGTCTCCCAAATTATCCGAAAATCTATTGCTTCCCTAAAACTTATTCCTTCGAAAATCTATTCCTTCAATGCCGTGATTCTATGCCTCTAAAAACTCGACAACTCCTAGTTTCCTCACTCATCTTTCCTCTGGTGGTCTGTCTGGTGGGCTTGAGATCAAATTGAAGAGATTAATGAATTGTTTCATTCGATTCATCTATGGAGTCTCCAGGCGCTACTAGATTTCTAGTAGGTAAGCTTAGTTGAAGTGGCTCTGTCCAGATTTTCGGCGGCAACATTTCCTAGGTGTATTCCTTTTCCGAATATCTACAACCAAAAAAAACTTCTTCCCTTCTTGATTTGTTTATTCCTTGTCCATCTGTTCATCCGTTTAATACTATATCCCAGTCCATAAATCTGTTTGTCCGTTCTCATAGAACCGTTTCCTTTAACAAAATCCTTAATCATACATGCTACCAATTTTTTTAATTCCCTTCCTATCTCAATACGCAAATCTAATTTAAACAATATTTATTCTTCCACCTCCTTAGAAATCAATCTTCCGAATACATGTAAAAATAAAATTAAATTAAAGAACCGTCACTCTCATTTGACTGTTATGTTAATCTTATTTGTATATCATCGATATTGTTAATCAGAACAAATATGTGAACACACTAATTTATATTTATGTACAAATTAATATGTTTACTTGTACTTAATTTATTTTAATTATAAGGTTAGATTATTATGTTATGTTAACTGAATTTTTTTCTGATCCTTTGCAGATTTTTTTTTTTAAGTCCATTTGTTTATTAATTTCAATTCATTTATTGATTTTACTGATATTTTTTTTAATTTTATTTATTTATCTATTCTATCTTATTATCTATAAGTGTCTATTATTATCCTTATTTATTTATTTTATTCTGTCAATCCATTTCTTTATTTTTTTATTTATTTATTTTTTTTTTACCAACCCTCTAAACAGTATAAACTGGTGTTATTTAGTTGATTGGGCGCTAAGGACCTGGATGTGTTGCGACTAAACATAGAAACAAACAAACTATTTTTAAATATAAAGTTCTATTTTTTTTTTCTTAGAACGCTAGCCAATTTTCATCGCTTTGTTCATTAAAATTTTTGTTAGGGGACTAAATTTCCCATAATAAAATTTATTTTTCTTTCTTTCTTTCAAAGCTACATCCAAATTTGTTTCGGATTTATAAAGAATAATATATGTACAAATTATAAGATATCATAAACGTTGTTAATAGGTCATTTTCTAAATAATATTTGAGCTTGTTTAAAAACCGTAACTTTTAGCCTCATTCTCCCCTAATCGGTCTTATGGCCAGAATTGAACATCATTTTTGTATTTATTGTTATTGGCTTTTTTCCCGGGATAAAGTTTATTTTTCTATTCTACAAATGGCCGATTTCAGTATTTCATTGTTATAGTCCGTAATACAGAAACGTTTTTATCGAATTATTAACATCCACCTCCAACTTGTAAATAGTTTCATTTCATCGTAACCTACAACTATTTTATTTAAGAAAACTCTTAGAATTGGGACTTTTGCAATCTGGAGGGGGCAAACTTTGTCTATTTAATTAGGTAGTAAATCGTACAAAATCGAGAAAAAAAAGTGTCCTTCAAAAATATTGAGCCGTTTTGCGTGACCTACACCCACAAATTCTCAAAATATATTGAACAAACGGGCCAATATTTTTGTAGGCCACATTTTTTATCGTTTTTGTGATCAAATTATCTTGCGATCCAAGTAGAAAGCAAATGGGTATTTACGAGTTTTTAGTAACTAATTAAACAGACAAAGTTTGCCCCGTCCCAATTCCAAGAATTTTCGTAAATAAAATAGTTGTAGGTTACGATAGGATGAAACTATTTACAAAGTTTCGGGCGGATGTTAATAATTCGATAAAAAGGAGGCTGTACCACGGATTATCAGAACTCCGAGTTAAACCAATTTAATCATACAGACTGTTTTGAAATCGTAAAAATATATGACGTGCATCACAATACAATATGTTTCCGAAAGAGGAACCCTTCATTGCGAATACACGGCCTTATAAATAATAAATATGAAAAATAAACAAGCCGTGGGTAAACAGGCCCCCCCCCTTCAAAAAGTTCTCTCCCTCGCAAACAAGAGGGGAGGCACCGGCTACATTCGGATTCGAATCCTTCACAGCTTGTTACGGCCCGCTACAAAACAGCCACCGTAACCTAATCGATTATTATAATAGAAAATCGATGTAAGCGTAACTTTATTCTTTTTTATATAGATAGAGCAAGCTCAAAAAGATCCATATTAAATATAAAAATAAATTTAGACATTTCACAACTATGGCAAATAGTGTGCACTTTGCAAGACCAAGACTAGGACTGTTAAACAAAATCGATTTTTTTGATATATATATTTTTTATTATTATTTATGATATTTACAACTGTATTAAGAAACAATACATTAAGTAAATGTGATAACAGACAAAACATAATAAAAACATGCAAACACTTGTTGAGAAACCACCCACTGGTAGCACTCTAAAAAAAAAAATGTATTTACAATAGAAGATCTCGAGGCCATATTCTTTTCAGACGCCTCGGAGGGTTATCAGGGATCGAATTGGAAGCAAGGTTAGAAACGAGAGGGTTCGGATGGTTCTGAAGTTTACTATGGAAGGATAGGTATCTGGATTGGGCCAATTCGAAAATATAAGGAACATTAAGGTCTTTATAGATAATTTAATTTGTGACGAAGAAAGGAGCTTTGAGGATTTTACGAAGGATTATGGATTGGATGCGTGAGGAATTCGATGGCTTTGTGGACCTCCAAATCTCAACTCCGTATGTCCAGATAGGTCTTATTGTAGTCAGGTATATGAGTCTTTTGTAATTGACTGAAAGCTTAGAGCGTTTGTCTAGTAAGTGCTGAAGTATTCGGAAACGTCGAGCGGTTTCTTGTCGTTTAAGTCTGGTATGAGGATTCCAAGTTAGACGTTTGTCCAAGTTGAGTCCAAGGTACCGGATTTGTTCAACTGGGATAAGTGGGGTATTATTAAAGGA